TTGGACAAATTGTGTTCTAATGAATAGAACACTCCCTCACAGCTGTCCTGCCAGAAAGCCAAGATTTTTTCTGTCTAGAAATCATCCCAGAGTGACCCTTAGATAAAGTTCAGAATCCATTTTCATTTTTTAATTAAGAAAAGGTTTGCTTACTTCCATTCCACACATTTCAGTGCTGGGCAGCTGACACACAATTTCCCCCTAAACATTTCATCTTAAAGAATTTAGCTGTGATGTCAGTGAGATCTGCCACAGGCAGCACATTGCTAAACACACCGTACACGTTGAATGCAAAGCATGCAGAGGACCTCAGCACGGGGAGCAGCTTCTCCCATCCGGGTACCTGTAAGATGGCACACACAGCAAGCTCAAGGTCAGCCCCACTCACTATACAGTAACTTAAATGCCACTGAGGACAGCCAGGACACACTGCTCTAAAGCCCCATGCGGCACCAGGGGCTTCCCCGATGCCCTTCCCTAGGGATTGCTCCTCCCAGCCCATGGGTGACTCGGTGATCTCACCTTCAAGTCGAAGGCAGCCACACTAAAAAATCCTCTTGTTAACAAACAGTGACCAAATGAAGAAATTTCCCCTCAATACAGGGCCTTGGGCACCCTTAGGAGCCTCCCTCAGTCAAGAGGAGCAGGCCACTTCATATCAGCAGAGCTCTCTTCCAGAAGCCCCAGCTTGCAACCTAGGCGTGCATTTCTCTTCATCATCAGCCCGCCTGGAATTTTTATTTTATGACCATTCCCATGGTACACAAGGAGGGTTTCATTGAATCCAAAATAGCCAGTGCATAGCCATGATTACATCATATTGCTTATCTTTTAAGAGGGAATTTCTAGGAACCAGAAGTGCAATTCAAGACAAGTTCGGACCCTTTCTGGTCTCGCAAAAGACCAATCTGACCCATGCAACTGTGTGGCAATCACTCACTTCCAGCAGGGATGCAGGATTTTGCTAGCACATGGCACTTGGAAATTCAAAGCAATACAACTTTCCAATGCTTTAAACATTAGCTATATCTTCAATAAGACAGGAAACTGAGGCAAAGTTACTTATGCTCAGCACTGAATGGAATTTGAGTCATTTAGCTACTAGCTACACTTTAACTACTGTATTGAGTTTCTTCTGGCAGAAGAAGTAACTAAATCATGACAAACTGCATTGCTACAAAAGCAATCAGTAGAATTGCATTACGGTGAAAAAGAGGTCATACAGAAGGCAAGAACGAGAAGCTTCCTCTGCTCTCAGCAAACCAGTTCCTCAAACGTCCAAGACACACAGAACTGCAGAAATTTACCTGAAATCCCACAGAAAAAAAGCAATAGCATCTGGACTTGTTCTCTCTATATAGGGCTGATCCAGTCAAAACAGTCAGTACAAGTAGATTAAAACTCTCAACCAAACTTATGTTCCTTTGCAAATAGATTCAGACAGAAAAAAATGACATACCTCAGCTAGAAGCTCTGCCACCTTTGCTTGAGGACTGGGTCTTCCCAGGTTATAGTTGCAACCACAGCAATGAGCCCCTACATTTTTGTGTGTGCTCTTAAACCAGCTCATCAGAACCAAAACATTGTAACTACAGCGAAAACACTAAAACAGTACTTGCTCACACTTTGTGGCACTGTATTTCTACAGCCTCCTATTGTCTGGAAATGTGGTTATAATGGGTAAGTTAGACAATATTAAATCCTTCTGAGAGTGTAAAGGGAAACTCTGAAATAATCATGCTTGGAGCAGTTATCTTTAAACACAAGCACGGGTTCAGAGCCCAGTGGAGGGTGGCAAGCAAAGTTATGGGCCCAAGGCAAAACAGTGACCAGCTGCCAAGAAACATCCTCATTAGTCTTTGTTAAAGTTTGTATTTTTAAAGTCATTGTGCAGTTCAATTAAGTTCGTAACATCCATATGAGAAAGTGGAAAAAAAATGTGAAGACGTAGGGAGATGAAATGCTAAAGCACTGGAGGATGTCACCTCCTGTGTGAAATGCTTACATTGTGAAATAAAAAGAGGAGAAAGAACGAGTCATTTTAGGATACAGTCTGGAATGACAGATAAGACCACACTATAATCTTCAAGTGGTCTTTCACAAAACCTCTTTATTTGCATTCTACATCATGTGGTCTGGTCCTGAACACAAATCAACAGGGCACTAAATGGAGAACTGACAACATGAACCGCAGTCTAAGAAATCATGGGATTTTGGGACTCAGTGGCACTTTCAAGACCCCAAAGGCTAATTCCATGTGTTCCCTGAAGATGCTAACAACATTTATTAAGCAGACCTGAATGTTTCATTAAACTAAGTCATCAGAGAATGATTATCTAGGAGGATTATCAAGGATGTAAACAGGATAATAAAACAGGAGAGAGAATGCAGACTAACAGTCAATTCTAATGACCGTCGCTGGTGGTCCCTATGTGCTACCAAGTTGATCACAGTCTTTAAATAGTTTTGGTTATGTTCCAGCTTCTTATACACATTCAGCTCCTCTCCTCTGTTTATCTGTATTGCAGTGTTGGATGCGTGAGCAATATCATGAAATTACATAAAGCTTTAAAACAGACAGCCAAAAATGTTGAGAGAGGAACAGGCAAATTATTTCTTGAGTTGAAGAGGAGATTTCAGGCCAGATCCCAGACGTCACGTCCAGGTTAAGTCCCTTTTGCACCATTCTAGAAGAAGAGAGAACTTAAAGCTGTCCTCAGGAGCAGCTGGGAATTTCCTTTTCCTGCAGGGACCCACGGGTGGCATCAGGCCAGGGGAAGGCAGACTGGAGCCGTCCGCTCCGTCCCGCCGGGTGCTCCCCAGCCGGCGGCCAGCAGCAGGAGGGGACAGCTGGCACCAACCGCGGGGCTCCCCGGGGAGCAGCACAGCTGGCTGAGGTCACCCACAGCACTCGAGCATTTCCTGTGCTTGCTCACGTAACAGCGCGCGCAGAAGCAGCTCTTGCCTCCCCACTTCCAGCTGCTTTTGCAGGTATTGCAAAAGACACCAGAGGGAAAAAGGCAAGCAACTACCACGGGAGCTGCCAGGTTTTCTGTCCCTCATCTGTGCAGAAACCAAAGGACGTTGCCTCTGCTCGGGCTCTTCCACATGTGTGGCTGCCCTGCTGTTGCTCTGTGAATCAAAGGCTGGTGCTCCACAGCCTCCCTCAAACATCAGCAGACAGGTAGAGGGAGACTCTGACAGTCAGGCCGGGCATTTCATCGCTTCAACTCTCAAATACTCAGTAATTAACTGGCAATTTGTGTCATAGATGAGCACGCGCACTGCTAACACCCCCAAGCTGCCCACGTTCAGCGGGCTACCTGCCTGCAGAATTTCCACTGCACTTAAATGACAATTTTCCTAGGAACTTAGTCTTAAAAATAAAGTAAAAACTGCTGAACACAATACAAGCTCTTTGTCATTAGTCATTGTTTTGCAAGATCCATCCTTGTTGAAGGACTGCAGGTTTATATCCTCTGTGGTTAAATCTAGGGAGAGAAGGTTTATAGGAAAGGCACACTTGAACTCTGCTGTCAGAATATAGCACTGCATGGAATGAGCCAAAATGTCAGCACTAAGGAAGCAAAACAGAGAACCAAAGAGAGATGGGAGTGGAATAGAAAATTCCGAATTAGGGACACAAATTAATGAACCAGCAGTTCTGGAAACGGGAACAAGCTGTCAGAACTTCATCTCTCATGAAGGACAAAAAAAATCATAATTTCTGAGAGTTTTGATGGAAACAAGAGTTATGCAAGACTGATATTGTTCACACTGATTTAATTAAGACTCTGTCAGCACTGTCAAACTTAATTGGTCTGGTATTTCACATTTATAGGAGTCAGCTACAAAAACGTGCTCTGAACTGAAAACCTGCATTCTATAAATGGTCCCAGTCCTAGAAGGGTCATCTTTTTGGCACAGCAGGCTCTTGAGAGCATCCCACTTATGTGGTAAGATAGCTTTATCTAGCTGAAAAGATTATAAGGTCATATCACATTCCTTGCCCCTACAGTCCTCTCACCACAGTTTGTGGGAATCGGGGGTGTCCAAGGAATGCAGAGTCAAGCTTCATGGCAGCAAACCATTAGGGAAATTACTTTACAGAGAATTAATCCCCAATTCTAACACTTCTTGTCATGTTAGATTCAAATCTCTGCATGTGCTGAGCTGTGATGAGTGTGGAAAGGCAAGGACTAGACAATGGTTTTGCACCCCACTCTTGAACATTTTGTTTTCTAGGCTGGTTAGTGAGAGCAGCAGTTCTCCATGTAGAGAAAGCAGTTCCTCTGGATGTCCGTCCATAGACAGGGCTCTTCTGCCATATCTCTCAACTACTTTTGTGTTCAGCCCTGTCCAGCAGTGCCAGAGCAGCTCCAGTGCTGAGACCTGCAGCTATGGAGCACACCCTTCTTCAGACTGTCACGGGCAGCAAATGTACACAGGGCCTGGAGCCACCAGTGAAATCAAGGTCCCTAGTGGGCTACCTCAGAGACAGTTACAGATTGGATTTGAGAAGAGGCAACAAAATTAGTATCAGTGAGAACAAACAACCACGCTCCCAGAAACTCCTATCTTCTGTAATTGTTATTGCTTCATCGGTGACAGGAAAGAGCAATGTTTTAAAATAGAAGTTCACTTAACTGAGTTTCCCTCGAGGCACAGAAAATCAGCTTCCATGAAGTGGTATAAATTATTCAACAATAACATGCTCTCCTGACTGAAAACTGGGTTAGGAATTTGCATTGTGTTTTCACAAAACATCATTCTTAGCCCAGTTTCCTCCTCCTCCTCAAGATAACTAGTCAGACTCCATGCCAATGAGTACTGAATTAAGACTACGTGGGTCAGTTGGTGAGCAACAGACGACCTGCTTGTTCACATCCCTGCTTAATGGTGGTGCTGGGTCCAGTGCAGGATCTTAGATGCCTGCAGATATTGAAGGAGTTGGTTGTTTAAATACCTTTGCAAATGGGCACCCTTCTCCTTTGCACTGCAGGGTTCAAGGTCCAAGACTCTGTCAGCCTAAGGGAGGTCAGCTGCACACAGGGCTCATGTCTGCATCACTCCTGAGTGCGTTCAAAAATGAAGAACCTAGGAAACTAAAAAAAAGTGAAAGAAAGGAAAACTCAAAAACTGCAGGACAGTGAAGATATATGCCTCATTTGGATAATACAGAAAGTGTTAAGAACCAACAGTCATGTGTTTACCTGTGAAATATTATCTTTCTGAAAGTTTGTCATAAATATGGCTCACGCTGCAGGGATGGCCATGCTTTCCAAGTTTGTGCAGCAGGAAGAATATTGCCTGGGGAATAAGGTCAAAATATTAGTATGCAATTGAGGCAGTATGGGCCAAATTAATGATGTTACTACTCCATCACAAACTTCCATACATGAAATCTGAGAATGTGGTTGTATCAACAGCACATCAATCTACAGCATTGGTCGGAGCAAAAAAGACCAACCTTTGCTTTCAAAGTTCTGTTCAGCTTTGGCATAGGAAAGCTAACTTTTTTTTTTTTAAGCAGTGCTTCTGAATAGATAATGTTAATTAAATGTTTGCATTCAAATCCTACTATACAGTGCAATAAATTTGCTTTCTATACAAACACAGTGTGTCCAATATGGAACGGAAAGCTGCAGGGGGAGTCACTAATGAGTAATAATACTCAAATCCCATGGCTACTTTCAAAACTAAAAGCAAGAACAGAGGGATGTCTGCCATCTTCACACTGTGTGTGTGTGTGTGTGTGTGTATGTGTCTGTCTCTAGTTTCTTCGTATTCTCCATATGTAAAATTGTCCATTTAGAGGTACATTCTCCTACTCAAATGCTGCATAAAACTCCTTTTCCAACATCACTGGTGACACGGCCAGTGGATGTAAGCTATAGATGTTAAAAACAGAGACCTTGTAGCAGCACTGTGCAAGTCAAATGCCAAGTTAGCCTGATGTGAGGCAAAGCAGCTAAATCATCCAGCCAGCTGGGAAATGTTGACAGTCCCTTCACTGCCACGGTTCGAGTTGTAATATGGAGAGGTGTGCGATTTGGCTTTGTTGAGCAGACATCATGGAACTATTTATTCTGTCTGCAAGTCTAACAGGAAGTTTATTAAACTTGCCTTTTGCTGGACATATCACCTGGCTGCTGTGTTTCATATTGGAATGCAAAATTGGACAGTCTGCTTGTGTACTGACGTAATGTACTACCATGCGGAGGATTTCTTTTTGAGCCTAAGACCTATTTCTCTGACCCCAGGAGCACACTGGATGTTGTGCATGCAATTCCTGACAGGAATGTTTCATTTTGCTCTTGAGCAACCATTTCTGAGCAAGCCAGGAGCAGAATCCAGCTCTTCTTGGCTGGAAGAATTGGGATGTCCCAAAATGGGGCTTTTTAACAGATGAGTGAAAAAGCAGAGAACCCAAAGGACTATCCTTCTCCAAAGAAAATCATACAAATCAACAAGCAAAAATTCCTCACGGTAACTATGCTAGACTTTCTAAGCTGGTGAAACAGCTGTGTGCTGTTGGGCTCAGTTGTGCTGCTGCATACCCTGAACATCCGCCTGATTATCTCCACAATGCTCCAGCGGGGCAGAGCGAGGCTCCAGGGACTGTCCTTGGCAGATGTTGGACAAAGTTGATTTTAAACCTGTCCTAGATTTCTGCTGGGAGACCAGCTTGGCCAGGCTACTCGTTCTCGCAGCAGAGCCCTGCACCCCTTTGCTCGCCCTCGCCGTGGGCAGACGTCGGCCTCTGCGGCCGGGCAGAGCCGCACACCTCAGCTCCCTCCCTGCCGCCGGGGCACGCAGCCCTGCCTGGGCTCCTTGCTGGAAAGGCTCCTGATAGTGGTTGTGGGGGGACACCCTCATAAGCAACTAAGGGCCCCATGGGGACAAAAAGGGTGTCACAGTCAAGCTCTGCACATTTCCCCTGCTGAACCATCTCCTTCCCTGCAAAGCACCTCAGAAAGAGCCAGGGGAGCCAGAGCAATTCCTGCAGTTTCTCCTCCCTACGCACTGAGCTACTGAGGTTGATTATCCTCTACTCAGCAATGTTAGCTGCAGGGTAGGACTGATTTTTCACCATTTAATGGCCTTCTAAAAATAATTAACTGTTTGATGCCAAGCCAAAGCAGTTTCTCCACATCCCTGTGAAAGTTCTCTCTACCAATAGCACTGCCTTCAGCCTTAACTCCCTTCCCCCACGAACACCCACCAAACATCCTCTCAAAGTGGATATTTCAAAATTTCCCTTGTTTTTAACTGAAACAGTAGCAAACATACTAGATCTTTTGTCCAAAGACTTCTTCCCAGATTTACAGCAGGCCAACTAGATTCATAAGCTGTTCACAGAGTAATCAGAGCAGAAAATGTTTCCTATTTTAAATCCTTTCATGTTAAGGTTTTAACATTCAGATGACAAACACAACATCAGTGTGCAATAACATTTAACAACTATATAAAGATCTCTCCCTGACATAAAATGGTCTGCAAAGGCCATTTAAGACGTAGGCATCTTTTGAAACATGAACCAAGAAATACTCATCCAAAGCAGAGCATTTTTTGGCCTGTTCTGAACAGAGAAATTTTAACTAATATAAACATTGCAAGTAGGCTGAATACCTCAGTAAATGGAAAGTTACATCCTTCCATTTCTAACTTATCACGAAGCCAGGCAAGAGGGAGCAGATGTACAGGCATGCCACTCACCAGGCCTGCGTGGCACAGCTTCATGCCATTGTAATTATTCCATCTGTTCCTGTGGCTTCCTGCTCACTGGGCTTTAGGTGTTTCTTACCCTTGGCATCATCTCCATGAATTACCACCATGCATCACAAAAACTACTTGGCAGAGCCCTCTGGATGTTACCTCGCCTGACCGCCTCCTCCAAGCAGGACTGTCACCAGCACTAGAACAGGGCAGCACTTTGCAGCCACCACCTTGCTCACCGGGAGGTTTGTGCATAAAAACCACAGCAACGTTCAACTACCACCCTGCCCAAACTGGGGACTGCTCAAGGCACCGCTGGAGTCGTTATGGGTGCCAGGAACTGCCTCCTGTCAAGAACACAGGGGAGAAATGGGGGAAAACCAGGTACACAGAAGTTACTGCTGCTTCATCAAGTCCAAAAACATTGTGAAATATTACAAGCTGTAAAAATAGCCAGATTCCAGGCTTTTAGGGGAAAAAGGCTAACTACATGCTTTGATCAATTTTCCTCAGACTTAGATAAGTCTGCGTGTACCCAAGAGCTGGGGTTTAAAACATCTAGTACAAACCAGAGAGGAACTTAAGGCATGCTCACTTATTTAAAACAGCTTCTAACATTCCTGGTTAAAGTAAATGCACACCAGACATACATTAGTGTAATAGTGGTTTTCTTTCTCTACAATATTTTTTAAACTGCTGGTCTGTCTATTCCAGAGAATGGCCATTCAGCTGGATGCCGCCCTTGCTCAAAGGACAAGGGCAGTAGAGTGACACTGTACAGGACATTCCTGAGGTGCTGACCCAGCTATTGGCATCCCTGACTGAAGGGAAGGCAAGGCTGGTATCTGTTATATTGTTTGACACTCCTCAAAATCTCATGCTTCCTCATGCAGCCTGGAAAAAACAACCAAAGAGGGAGCTCCTTGGCCAGCTCCAGGGTGGCCAGGAGCTGAGAAACAGGCTTTAGCATTATGTGACACACTTTCTGATCTAAAGTTTGTGCTGTTGGTCACAAAACCCAAAGAGATAAGGAAGGTCTTACAGTAAAAGTTCAGATATTTCCTGCAAGTTCATCGAAGTTCAGTCAAGTGCCTTTCTCTCTTTGCTAGGAACATGTCTCCCTGAGCTGGAAAACTTCCAGGCAAAGTGCAAGTTTTCAACAGAGCAGTCAGTACTTGTCAGACCATGCAGAGAGCTCCCTTCTCAGCAAGCCCTTACACCTTCCTCACGGCTTCTGTGGTTTTACACGTGCCTGCAACTACATGCCCCAGAACCAGATTCTCGTTTACAAAGGCAAAATATTCTTTTTCACAGTTTGAACTTTGGCTTCGTTTTGAAACCTTCCTCTTTTTCCCGACTAATGCGGCTCATGAAGGAACACCTCCCTCAGGCCAAAAGCATGGAAGATGCTTGTGATGATTTTCCAAGATTTTAACAAGGGCGTCCTAAGCACCTCGAAGCAGCTCGTCAGTGGAATGTGGACCACATTAATAATGCTTTAACTTCTCTGAACATGCTCACAGAGAGCCTGGGTGCCAACCCACAGGGTCCTGAGGGCAGAATGACTGCATCTACACAGGCGATTAACCTCAAAGACAAACGTTCACAGTTTTTTTTTACTGATCTCCTCAAGTACTTTGCATTTTGGAATCTCCTTCCTCATAGCCACGCTCACAAGCTGTGGAATTACTTAGTGTACTTTGAAGGAGACTAGTCATGAGCTGGCAGCAATTTGGAGACCTGTCACTTGGTTACCATAGCACCATCTGCATAAACCAAACTTTTCAGATTTTTATCATTTTTTCAGATTTAAAAATTAATGACTTCATCTACGAAAGAATGCAGGCACATGTGGAACCTCTCTGAATAGCAGCATTTTGGGGGGTGTAGGTGGGGTCACAATATGCCATATCACGATATGCCTAGCAAACGTTTCTCTGCACCTCCAGGAGCTTGCATGGTCAGTATGGAGCCCTGATCTTCCACCCTGTCCCTGTCCTCAGGCAATGGAAGCAGGAGAAAGCAAGGGCAGCAGTTCATGCTGCGTTACAAAGGTAAACAGCCTCTTTCAAAATATTTTGTTAACACCCAAGCTGCAGGAGTGCAGACTGACCACTTGCAAAAAGCAGGCCAAGTCCTACAGTCTTCTCCGGGACAGAAGCCACAATGGCAACATGAGAGTTTAAGGACATCTTGAACTGGACCTATATCTTTAAATTACTTAATCAGAAAGATTGTTACATTATGGGCAACAGGGAATTTGAACAGGGAATTTGAACAATCACATAAAAAAGCCATTTTTTTATTGGTCTTATCGGAAAATGTTGCAACAAGATACTTCGTGCATTATGTACATTTCCAAAATGATGAAACCAGAGGACAGAAC